AGCCCCACCACTTATGAGCTGTGTGATTTGAGTTAAATGTATTAATTTCTCTAAATAGGCATTTCCACATCTATAAAATGAAGGTGATAATGCCTAATAAAGTTATTTTAGAGTTAAATCAGATAGATAAGAGAGTACAGATTCTAACATTCAGTATTCAGTAAATACATAACTATTACTGGTATTTTTATCTCTGTCCAGTTTTGTACTCACACTGTAAAAATGGCATTTTCCACTTTTAAGATTAGTTTTGCTTTTTCCTGAAGATACAGGGGCCTAGACCAAAGTTGTTGGAGCTCTGATTTCCTTCTCTAGCTTTCTTATGTAGTAGTGACAAAAATGGGGAAAACTTAGTAGGTTTAGTATGAGCTGCCACTCAAGCAATTTGTCTACATGATGGTGTCAGCTAATACTTTGCTATTTATGTTTGAGGCAGCTGGAAAACTGAAGTGATGCTGTATTTTATAATAATGTGCTATTATATTAGTGACATACTAGTATCTTTAATGTAGGCTGCTACATTTTGGTATTTGTTGCTATATTAAAAGTGTAAGCTGTTAAGGTATAATTCTTTCTCATTCTTTGATATTTGCAGATGGCTTGTTCAATCAGTATATCAGTCAACAAGAATATAAGCCACGATGGAGTCAAATCATTCCCAAAAGCACCAAAGGTGAGTCCTACCTTCTAGGTTGTGGGTGCTTTTGCCTTATTGTCCCAGTTTCATTTTTTCCAAGGTAGCTCAAGTTTCACAGTACTCCATTAATGAATAGCAGGTGTGTAAAACAGAGAATAGGTTCCTCAACTAGATGACAGAGTTAATTTGTTATATTAAATCTTTCTTTTAAACCTTTTTGCTTTATGGCTATATCAGAAGGCTGGGCAGTTGTTGCACAGAATACCATCATAAACTGCTTATATAGAGACACTTTAAAATTATAGGCTTTTGTAATGCCAAACATGTGTCCCTGAAAAACCTTAAGTTCTGCAAAATTGCTTACTAAAGCTAATAAGGCTTAGTAGAAAAGTAGAAATGGGACATACCATTCTAAATCTGTGGAACTTTATAACTAGATACTAGTAAAAATAAATACTAGTACAGTTAAATCTTTATAGGCATTTATATTGAGCATCACAATGATTTTGGAGCCTTAAACCCTAGGGTTCATGCTTCTTTCTTTGAGCTATAGACCTAGAGGACATTTGCTTCTAATAAAGACTATTTTTATCAGAACTTAAAATCTGGTTCAGGGGTATAGAATTCCTCATTAATCCACTTTTTGATATAGGAGAAGTTTCTGTCACTTCTTCATCTGCACTCACTGCTTTGTCGACAAGATGGTTAACATGGTGGAAAGTTAGCAATTCTTTAATGCAACTACTTGTACTAAAGGAAGGCAGTTTTATGAATGTTCAGCTTGTTTCCTATGGTCTTCATATATTGCTAAGGCCTTCTCTTTAATTATGAGAAAGCTTGCTTTTGATAGTTTTAAACATTAATATACTGGAGAAAATTACTTAGAAACCTCCATAATCTCTGAGTTACGTAAGGATCATTTTCCTATTTTATCAGTCACATGAGGTAATTTTCTTCAAAGAAGTGTATGTTGTAGCAAACAGACTGTAGTTCTATATTTGAAACCTAATAGATCAAAATATAAAATGCAAACATATTGACAATAAATTTATTTTAGTGTTTTCTTAGTATGTCCTTGGAAGTGGCAGTACTGACTTTATTGACTGAGGGAAAGAAGGAAGAAAAGGGTAAAACTTCACCAATTATGAGCTGCAAAATATAAACCTAACTAATAAATAGGAGAAAGAATTTGCAGGAAACTTCTGAAAGATTAACACTTGAATAAAGCTTTAGTTTTGCATCTTATTTACTATATATAAAAACTGGCTTTTCAGTCTTTTTCCTAATACCCATGTGAAATAGTAAAAAGTTGGTTGTTCCCTATTTTATATAGGAGAAAACTGATACAGGAAAAGTTAGTGGCTAAAGTAATATACTTCAATTAATGAGAGAGTTTTTAAAAAGACAGCCTCAAGTTTTCTGGTTTATATCAAGTAAGTCATTAAATCCTGTAACCTGTTAAAAACTCTCACCAAAGTGGGTATAGAGGGAACATACCTCAGCATAATAAAAGCTATATATGACAAACCTACAACCAGCACAGTACTCAACGATGAAAAACTCAAAAGCTTCCCACTAAAATCTGGAACAAGACAAGGCTACCCACTGTCATCACTCCTATTCAACATAGTCTTGGAAGTCCTAGCCACAGCAGTCAGTCAAGAGAGAGAAATAAATGGGATCCAAATTGGAAAGGAAGAGGTAAAAGTGTCACTATATTGCAGATGACATGATACTATATATAGAAAACCCTAAAAAGTCCACACAAAAACTACTAGAAATAATCGAAGAATTCAGCAAGGTAGCAGGTTACAAGATTAACGTTCAAAAATTAGTTTTATTTCTTTACACTAATGATGAATCAACAGAAAAAGAAAGTAAAGAAACAATCACCTTTAAAATAGCACCCAAAATAATAAAATACCTAGGAATAAATCTAACCAAGGAGGTGAAAGACTTATACACGGAAAACTATAAAACATTGATTAAGGAAATTAAAGAAGACTTTAAAAAATGGGAAGATATCCCATGCTCCTGGATTGGAAGAATCAATATTGTTAAAATGGTCATACTGCCCAAGGCAATCTAGATTTAATACAGTCCCTATCAAATTACCCAGGACATATTTCACAGAACTAGAACAAATTATAATAAAATTTATATGGAAACACAAAAGACCTAGAATTGCCAAAACATTACTGAAGAAAAAGAGGCTGGAGGAATAACTCTCTCAGACTTCAGACAATACTATAGAGCTACAGTAATCAAAAACAGACATTTGGACCAATGGAACAGAACAGAGAGCCCAGAAATGAACCCACAAACTTTTGGTCAACTAATCTTCAACAAAGGAGGCGAGAATATACAATGGAATAAGGACAATCTCTTCAGCAAATGGTGTTGGGAAAACTGGACAGCAGCATGTAAAGCAATGAAGCTAGAACACGCCCTTACACCATACACAAAGATAAACTCAAAATGGATCAAAGACTTAAACATAAGACAAGATAACAGTAAACCTCCTAGAAGAAAACATAGGCAAAACATTATCTGATATACATCTCAGAAATATTCTCCTAGGGCAGTCTGCCCAAGCTATAGAAATAAAAGCAAGAATAAATAAAAGATATGTTCCCTCTATACCCACTTTGGTGAGAGTTTTTAACAGGTTACAGGATTTAATGACTTACTTTATATAAACCAGCAAAGGAAACCATAAGTAAAACAAAATGACAACCTACGGAATGGGAGAAAATTTTTGCAAATGAAACCGACAAAGTCTTGACCTCCAGAATATATATGCACCTCTTATGACTTAATAAGAAAAAAACAAACAACCCAATCCAAAAATGGGCAGAAGACCTAAACAAGCAATTTCCAAGGAAGAAATACAAATGATCAATAGGCACATGAAAAAATGCTCAATATCACTAATTATCATAGAAATGCAAATCAGAACTACAATGAGGTATCACCTCACACCAGTCAGACTGGCCATCATTCAAAAGTCCACAAATGACAAATGCTGGAGAGGCTGTGGAGAAAAGGGAACCCTCCTACACTGCTGGTGGGAATGCAGTTTGGTGCAGCCACTGTGGAAAACAGGATGGAGATTCCTCAAAAGACTAGAAATAGACTTACCATATGACCCAGGAATCCCGCTCCTGGGCATATATCCAGAAGGAACCCTACTTCAGGATGACACCTGCACCCCAATGTTCATAGCAGCACTATTTACAATAGCCAAGGCATGGAAACAGCCTAAATGTCCAACAACAGATGACTGGATAAAGAAGATGTGGTATATTTATACAATGGAATACTACTCAGCCATAAAAACTGACAACATAATGCCATTTGCAGCAACATGGGTGTTCCTGAGAATGTCATTCTAAGTGAAGTAAGCCAGAAAGAGAAAGAAAAATACCATATGAGATTGCTCATATGTGGAATCTAAAAAAAAG